TTGCCACTTGACATTTAACTACGATTATAATCACAAACATCTAGTTTTAATTGTATTTCATATTATTATTATTTTATGCATTCACACCTATGTTTCAATTCCCTCACCAGATACAACTTCTTCAAAACCATATATAAACGATTATACAGCTTGATGATAAATTCGTTGAAGAGAGTCTCTTCGCTGAATCATTTGTTTTGCTTTTCTATATAGGTATATCCATCAGATTCTGGAAGGGGTCCGACCAAGTCTATATGGACGTGTTCGAAACGAGCTTCAGGGATAAGAAAGGTGCCAAGAGGGCTTTTGGTGTGTCCTAGTACCTTGTACTTTGACAAGCTTAGCACGTGTGTACCTATTCCCTTACTTCTTTATTAATACCAGGCCAACAAAACCGACTAGTTACGAGCTTGACGGTAGTTCGAATACGTGGGTGTGATAAGCCATGCAACGTATTGAAGACGTAATAGCGATAACTTTTAACCGAGAAGTACTCGTGGAAGTGTCACATAGAATAGTATCTCTTCCCATACCTAAGGATTTCTCAGCTTATTGCAGAGTTGTGTTCGACAACTCATGTTGAAGCTCGGTATCTTCTTTTTGAAGACGAGCCAGTTTCACAAGATCTATGCCGCCGATTTGGGTGAGGGGAGAAATGCGCGACAAGGCGTCTCCCATAGTGTTGTTCACTCCGGATTCATGGCGAATATCCGAAGTAAACTGTGAAACTTAGTCCAGTTGTCGTGATTTCCTTAGTGACTATGTATCTGAAGTTGAGTTCAGAGACTAATTCACAGGTTTGTGTTCAGGTAAATTATGAATTCATGCCCTTTCACTGAATATCGATAGTGGCGTATAGCATAATACATAGCCAGAAGTTCTCTGCCGAATGTGCTGTACTTCGTTTCTGCTAATTGAAAGTGGCTCGAGGAAATGGCGAGTGGTTGCCACTCTCTGTTGACTAGCTGTTGCAGAACTGTGCCGATTGCAGTGTCTGATGCATCAACCGAGATACTTAACGTTGCCATTGGATCCTGATATATAAGGAGGTTGGCATCCGCAATAGCTTTTTTAACCTGAGTGATAGCATTTTGAGCAGACGCGTCAAGTTCGATGGACTTGTTATTCCCTCGAAGAAGGTCTGTTAATGACTGAATCAGAGAAGCACAATTGGGAACAAACCGTCGATAATAACTTACCAGGCCGTTGAAAGTGCGCAGACTTTTCACTGTGGCTATGGAAATTTCAGCATCGCCTCAACTCTCCTGGCCAATGGACGAATGCCCTTGCAGTCAATGGTGTGTCCCAGGAAGTTGAGTGAGTCAACGCTTATCTGACACTTTTGAATATTGATGGTAACACCATGTAGGCGTAACCTTTGAAATACCAAGTCCAAGTGTCTAAGGTGAGTTTCCTTGTCTGGACTGGCAATGAGGCAGTCGTCTAAGTGTGCGTATACAAAGTCGAGACCGCGAAATACTTCGTCAATGAAGTGTTGGAATGTTTGTGCTGCATCCCGGGGACCAAATGGCATACGTAGAAATTCAAAATGTCCGGAAAGCATAATGATAGCCGTTTTCGGAATATCTTCTGGTGCCATTGGTATTTGGTTATACGCTTTAGCCAGGCCTATTTTCGAGAATATTGTTGCGCCAAATAATGTTGCCGTCAAATCGCTTATGTGAGGCAATGGATGGCAATCAGTGATTGTTTTGGCGTTCACCCGCCGGTAATCACAAGTAGGTCGCCAATCGTTGCGCTTTTTCGGTACCATATGCGGTGGGGATGCCCATGGGCTATTCTACGGTCGAATGATGCCAAGTGTGAGTATATGGTCGAACTCATTTCTAGTGAGTCTCAGTTTATCAGGAGCAAGTCGTCGTGCTTTATATGTCACGGGCCGTCATGAGATTATGATGTGATGCATAACATTGCTGGTTATGCACGGTAGATCGTTAGGCGGGCAATTAAGTTCCGGGTATTTATCAACAATCAGTTGAAAAGTCACGGATTGCCTTCATCTTAACGAGTGACACGCTGGGACCTATGTAGGTGATGCCTTTTAGACACTCTAGTAGTATCGTCTATCAGCCGTTTTCGGCGGACGTCTACGAGTAAATCATGATTAAGTGGGCCCATGCCAATGATGGGCATTGTGACATCAGCGAGAAGGAAAATCCACTGAGAAGGCTTGCCTAAACATACATTCAGATAGACGTATTTCCTACCAAAGGTTGCAATTGGTTTTCCATTTGCAGCCTGTGAGATGAAGGTAGATTCCTTCAGTCGATCTGCCACTGTAGCAGCAAGGACGCTGACTTCGGCGCCGGTGTCAACTAAGTACCGGGTCCGGCTGACCACATCACGAATGTAAAGTAGGCGACGGTTGCCGCTAACGCGTGCCTGCAGGACAGTTTCCCACAGACTTTGAGACATTACCGAAATTATAAGTTTTTCGGCAACATTTCGCTTCCTGACCACAGATGTTGTGACACCAGCACCAGTCAGGGTATTTTAGTGAACGTGGCTCGGATTTAGACCGACCACGTGAGTTTCGCCATTGAGGGGAGTTCGGACGACGGTAGCAGGAATTACAAGGCATGCTTGACCTAAGCAGCTTCTGGATGGAGTTGCATAGCTCTATTACTTCTGTATCCCTACTTGAAATCTGTTCGGCCACTGAGCATATTTCAGGAACTGGCCGTTTAGTCATTTCTAGAATTTTATCTGCAGAAACAACTAAGTCATCTATAATAACACCCTGAATTCTCACAAGTACATCCTTTACTGACTGTGGCAGTTTGGGTAAGAAAAGTTCTCTAAGGAGTGCTACAACAAACTGACGTTGGCCAATAGTTTCCCTCATGGTCAAGGCTGATTGATTACCTAACTCGGCGTCGCGAAATAGTTCGTCCAGACGCTGTGGATCCGTGAGATTGTTTCTCTTTAGGAGGGTTGCTTTAAGCAACTCGTACGAGTTACTTACATCTGGCCCCGACATCTGCACAGTTACGCACTTGCTGAATTCCCGTGGTGGGGCGTAAACAACTGCGAGGAACTGTGAACGTTGATCAATTATCCCATGCTCACTGAAATCAGACTTAGCTATCTGAAACCATAATTCAGCATTATCTCGCGAATATAGTACGAGCTGAAGGGTTTTGGCATTTGAGCGCATACGACTGATCTTAGCAGTGTGACCACTCATGACGAAATATCTATAGTTTGAAAATAGTACAGGAACAAATGCAAAATGGAACGAGCTCACCGGATTTGCCTGTTTATTTACCAAAGATGAAGTCCGCGGTAGGGATCACCAGCTTAGAGGCTGACGGTATTGACGTCCACGGATTGTACGAAGTATACTAACGCAAGATCTAATAGCCAAAACTTCTATAGTGTTCGTTCCGCGCAGACCAAAGGCAAAACAAATCACCACAATTGATCGTCCAAATTACGAGATATATTTCGGGACCAAATCGGAGTGCGATATGATTGCCTAGCTGGCTAGGGATCGTGCACGAACGTGACACGACGGAGTACCAAATGGCGTGGATGCTTGACCGGAAGCCTTCAGCTAAACAATTCGACTTAAACAGAGTGGGTCAGCATCCAATGTTCAGTGATGAGTGTTGTAGTTAATAATTTAGGGGAATAACTTACCGCTACACATTCATTTTCAAAGTATAATTCGTAAAACCAATGAAGTATTGGTAATCGTTCTCTAGTAAACATCTCACGTGGTGTGAAGGACAATCCTAAAGGAAATGTAGGTGAAGATTACAAGGTAGAATTTGGTACTACGTATTAAGTTCGAAAGGTGGTCTACTCAGTCCTAAGGTACGAAGAATAAAATCCGGTGGAGATATGGTGATGTGTTCACGTAAAATCTGTATGGGGAGTGCGAAGTCATCAATAAACAGTAGAAGCGAGACGGTCATAGCAATAAACTATATAAATAAAGTGCAAATTATTGCAAGTACTTTACCCTGAACGTGGTAAGTGTAGGGAGTGTGTGTAATGCACTGAAACGTAGAGTTTTGTTGAGGTCGTGAATAGCCATTGAATTTGCTGCATATACACAGGAAGTGTCTTGACCACCATCAGTTTACTGGAAGCATGAAAAGGGAGAGATCTGGATAGAATATAATTTGAAGCACTGAAAGCAAAGACAGGACTCTGCTTACATGCTAATATCAACACAGGCTGCATGGAGGTGCTGCAAAGCACCTGTTAGTTGTGAGAAGAGATACACCTGAGACCAGGTGTCTTTTTGCGGCATAACTACAGCACTTCTGATGAAAAGGATTCACCCATTTCCTATTGGTCCATATCGGGTGGTGCACAAAGTTGCATGTGGTTGGCCAAATTTTTTTACGCCACATACACACCATAATACTAGGAAATATGAACGTTCGGTTGCCCTCCCTATTTTCTTGATTCATTCTCTCTATTGGTAGATTACTTTGCTAATGATTCAAATGAAGGTCAATAAACTGACGAGCCCTGCTATAATAGCGATAATGATGAAATAATTTTAATTTCTTGAAAGGAATCAGGTAATTTTCGCAGGCATGACTATATGTAGGGCTTTTGTGTTTTATCTTAAAAGGCAGCCGAATTTCCGATAAAATACTGGCGTGATGAGTTCTTCGTCAGGTATTTGTGTTTGTGCGAGTTTCAATCATACTTCTCTGATATTTTCGCCAGAAGGGTAGTCTGAGAAGAGGTTTAATAAATTTCCCTCCTATAGCGCCATTACCTAATGGTAGTGGTTCAACTTTGTCTTTGTCAGAAGGTGCACCACTGTTGCAGGTAGGTGTAACTGCTACCATCGCCACAGACAGAAAGTCACAAACTAACATAATTCATTTAATTGAAAATATTTGTAATTTACAGGATATTCTCTACACTTTCGAAAATTAGGAAATTCAGGGTCATTACTTTTTCTACATGGCGGGTGGTCATTGTACTTTCGTTTGAAAGTTTGGCGGGAAATGATGTGTGGTGAAGTCTCAGATTTGTCTGGGTCCAAATTAGATGGCTCAGGTAGGCTAGAAGTTTCGTTTAGATATTTACTAAATTCAGGCAACAATGATACAGACAAAGATGTGGTATCTGATGAGTCGGGACAGTCGGCTTGGGATAGTATGTCAAGAGCTCAAGAAGAAGACGAATTGTTAGGTCGTGCCGATGACAACCTTGGTCTATCATATGAGACCAATTCCAATGATACCACAAGTTATGGTGAATTTCATACGGCTGTTGAGTGTCCTAACGAATCCGAGGAAGGAAACAGTGTCTCTCACGAGAGTTCTGGAGATTCCAAAAAAGGTCGTATTAATACCAGTCAGTCATCTGTGGCCATTGAGGATGTTGACCCGTTTGAGGGCGTTACTTCTGCAGCTACAAGAGAAGAAAACAAGAAGGCCATTTCCCCTATAGAGTGGGATAGAGTTTCTGACGAGGAAAGCGAAAATAGAGATGAGCTTCATGTCGACGCCCCAGGGGACGAATTTTCAAAAGAAGAGGAGGCTCAAAATGTCGTAGTCCGATCTCCTGGTGTCAAGAAGTCTACCGAAGTGTCACGCAAAGAAAGTTCTCTGCCTGATTACCGTCACCTTTTCCGGTCAGCAAAATATTTTATGATAAAAAGCAATAACTTTGAAAACGTAGAAATAGCTAAGTCTCGTAACGTCTGGGCTACCACGAAGGGCAACGAAACAAGGCTCAACAAAGCCTTCTTTGACTACTCAAATGTGTTGTTAATATTTTCCGTTCGTGAAAGTGGGCACTTCCAAGGCTTTGCTCGTATCATGGCATCTTCAGACCCCCGAATTAAGGTTGATTGGGTGCTATCTTCACGCATGAATAGTGGACTAATAAGCAACCCTTTCCGGATTAAATGGATATCCAAGTATGTTCTTTTAGAGAAAGATAAACCCATTATTAGATTTGACGTCCCCTTTACAAAAACAGGGCATCTGTTGAATGCCTGGAACGAAGATAAACCTGTTAAAATTGGAAGAGATGGTCAGGTGGGTGCAAAATTTTAATTAATTGAGCTTCAGGAAATTGAGCCAACATGTGGTGAAGCACTCTGCCGTCTGATGCTTGGTGATGGATCTGGAGATGAGTCGAAACATCTTAATACTGTTCAAACGATTGGTGAAAGAACTAGTCGTCGGAATGCTTTTGAAAGACTTGGAAAAGTTGTTGGACGTGTTGGCCAAAATAACCATAATGGTTCACGTGTTGGTGGCGCAGGCGGTCAAGCCAATGTTGGACTTTTGGGAGATGCTAATGTTGGAAATCAACGGTATTTGACTTCCACAGAGAGAAGAAGTTTAATGAGTTTCCCTCCTATGACGCCATTACTTAATGCTAGTGGTTCAAGTTTGTCTTCGTCAGGAGCTGCACCGCTGCTGCAAGTAAACGCAGCTGCTGCGGCTATGGCAGCAGCTGCAGCGATGGCTGCGATCAAATCGTCAGGAACGCAATCAGTCAATTCTCAAACCCGTAGTGGAACATCTAATCTCAATCCTACAATGAGTTCCAGATTGCCAGTGCAACCTCCCACCCTTCCTAACATATTTTCAAATTATCCAACTCCCAGTGGTTCTCTATCACGTCTAAATGCATCAAATTCCTCAAATACTACTCTGCTACCTTTCCTTCAGCAGCAGCAACTTCGTATTTCTGGGTCGGCAGCAAGCGCTGCTGCGGGGGCTGCTCTTTCTCAGGCATTGCAGCAAGCTCGTGGTTTGCCTAATCCATGTATGGTGACGCGGTCTGGGATGGCAATCAATCCTGCAGTAAACAACGTGCCTTTAGATGCTCGAGCTAAAAGAAGTCGTTCATGCTCTACCAGCGATAGCGTATCTTGCAGTTACGCTCGTGAACGTAATCCAAGGCACCGAAGAACTGATGACTATGCAGTACCGGGGTCCCCGCGATTTGACTCAAGTCGACGGAACTCAAACTCTCCGAGGTTAGGTGTTGTTGAGCAGTGGACACAAGAAACAGAGATTTGTGCTAATTTATTTGTTGATTATTTATTGACTGTTAACCTATGGTTTTTATTATGCCTTACGTGAACTACTGAAAACCTTTTTTCACTTTTTATACTAGCAGTTGCTTGTAACAGCCACATGAACAATTGACACTAGACTCAATGTTTTTGAATGTGTGTTTGTTAACATAAGTTGTAATACTAGGCACATATAAACTAAGTCTTCGAGAGTTTCTGTGTACGTCAGATATTGTATGCATTTAGTAAGTGAAATTTGGCTTCAGTTTGTGTTGAGATTTTATAAGTCTTCATTTCCTGACATGGAGTTTGTGTTTAATCCATTTTATTTTCTAGGAGATTCAGGTAAAGATTCTTTATGGACATTTGTTATTCGAGATATTTATTTATGTTCCATTAACATGTCTTTTCATTTTCACAAACTGACTTCATTTGCTCGCTTTGGAAATTGTGGATTGGATTCTGTTGTGAAGACGGCGTGAAACAAACTCAAGGCGTGGGGGCTACGAAAGTATGTTGATTATCTTTTCTAGCGGTGTTATTTGCATTTTTTGGGCTACCTTCTAAAGATTCAGATTTATTGTTTGAGGATAGAAGGCTTGGAGCCTATGTTAATCCTTTTCTAGTAAAATTCTGTGGTTGTCCAAACCCTTCTTGAACGAATCAACTGAGGTTGCAGACACCACTTCTTCTGGGAGTCGGTTCCAAGAGTTTATGACTCTGTGTGAGAACCAGTACTCAACAGCAATATGATTTCTTCTTGGCTTTTGAACTCTCCTCCTATGTCCTCTAAGGTGTTCCGACCTGGTGGGAAGGAAAAGAGAAAATAGGTCAGGTCCGTAGTCATTATTTAAAATTTTAAACATTGTGATTAAATCTCCTCTCTGCCTACGGCATGACAAGGAGAAGAGATTTAAACTGTCTAGTCTTTCCTCGTATGATAAGTTAGTCATGCCATGAATCATACGTGTTGCTTTCCTTTGAACCCTTTCTAGAATAAGTGAGTCCCCTTTTAGACAAGGGCTGGCGGCCTGGATGCAGTTTCCCAGGGATGTATATAAGGAGGTGAACATATCTCTGGTGATTCTAGTGAAGGCTCTACGAATTGCCCATAATGACCTGAAACTAGGTGCAGCCACCGCGCGACAGTGTGCTGTAGTTTTTAAGTCGTGGCTAACTATGACACCTAAGTCCAAGTAAGTCTGAACTGATGGAAGTGTAATTCCCTCTAGTTCATAAGAGCTCGTGCTTGCTTGTCCAATGCGCATGGTTGCACATTTTGTCACGTTTATCGGGAGCATCCATTCTATGGACCACTCTGACAATTTATTGAGGTCCTCTTGCAACGTGGACGTGTCACTGTTGCCCTTCAGCTCTCTCCAAATTTTTAAGTCATCTGCGTATAGGACCATAGGGGAATCGGTGAGCAGAGATAACTCATTGATATACAAAATAAATAGGAGAGGTCCAAGTACCGTGCCTTGTGGCACTCCACTGCGTACTGCTGTCCAAGAGGAGAGTTTCGAGTTGATCCTAACCCTCTGCCTCCTATCTATGAGGAATTCCCTGAGCCAGTCTAGTAAGCTGCCTTTGATACCAAGACTTTCTAACTTCATGAGTAGTCTTTTGTGAGGTACTTTATCAAAGGCTTTGCTGAAGTCTATGAAGACGACGTCAACGGGTCTTCTGTTGTCCCTGGATTTAACCCAACTTTCTCTTGCAGTGAGAAGATTTGACAGGCATGAGAGGTTCCTTCGGAAGCCATGCTGTGCTCTTGATAATAAGCTTCTATTTTCTAGATATGCCATTATGCTTTTCTTGATGATTCTCTCCAGTGTCTTTATTAAAGTGCTGGTGAGACTGATAGGCCTGTAATTTGAAGGGCTTTGCCTTGATCCTCCTTTGTGGATGGGGGTTACTATGGCGTCTTTCCAGTCACGCGGTAACACTCCATTTTGGAGAGAAAGCTTGAAGATCGTAGTCAAAGGGCCGGCTATGTGTGCTGATAACTCCTTGAGAAGCCTTGGGTGAAGATTATCAGGACCCATTGATTTCCCTGCATCTAGTTTCCTTAGGCAGTTGAGCACGATGCCTTGGTCGATGTCAACGGAATCTATCCCATGTTCTTCTGATGCAGCCAGAGCTGATCCGGTAGGCAGTGACGACTCCTGAGTGAAGACTTGGGAGAAGTAGTTTGCCATTGCTTCTGCTTTTTCTTGATCTTCTTCGATTGTATCATTGTCAATAGTCAGGTTTGGGACACCATTGGGTGTTTTATTCCTGAAGTTCATGTATGAGAAAATTTTCTTAGGTTGTGCCTTTGCATTTTGAGCCAGGTGTGCTTCGAATTTCATCCTTGATTTGCGGATTTCTGCAATAGCTTTATTTCTAGCAGTGTTATATAATTGCCTGGTCTCAGAAGTCTCAAGTGTGGCAAACAAGTTCCAACATTTGTGTTTACGTCTAAGTAACTTACGAATCTCTCGGTTTATCCAAGGAGGGCAGTGTTTCCGACCCTTTGGGACAGACCAAGGGATGAAAGGTTCAGTTACTTGGGCGTAAAGTTGTTTAAATTGGTTCCATGCGGCTTCTACTTGAGACTCTGGGTTGATGTACCAGTTTACTGAGTTGGCTGCTGAGACGATTGCATTTATATCAGCTTTCCAAACGTTAGGTCGAGATGGGGTTTTGGCCCTTGCTGCCGTTGCTGTGAACTTGAAAGTGAGCACAGCATGGTCACTTCTTCCTAAAGGAGGAAGATGTTGTATGAGATCTACATCCTCACCATGGGAGAACACTAGGTCCAGAGTTGAGGAGGAGTGCTGTGAGTCATAGGGCGTGGGCTTGATGATATGTTGGACTAGAGCTAACGATATACTAGATTCCAGCAGTTTATAATCAAAGGAGTTGACTGAGGATGGAGTTGTTAGGCTCGTCCAGTCAACTGTTGGGGCATTGAAGTCGCCAACTACGAGACTTCGACATTTCGAGGTCCAGGAGCCTAGCTTCTCTATCAGGAAGTCATCTGCACTGCAGTTAGGACTGCGGTACATAGCAATGAGGTCAATGTCTTGGCCTATGCATTTAAGTCTGCAGCGTAGAAGTTCGCACGACTCACTTTCGTGAGCGAGTGCTTCGATACTACGCACGGTTAAGCATTTCTTGAGGTAAATGACTACGCCACCTCCTTTGCGGTTTAGTCGGTCTACCCTATGCACTTCGAAGTTTGGCAGGTTAACTTCGCTGTCAGTGACATCGGGTGTGAGCCATGTCTCTGTGATAATAATTACATCCGGGTTTTCGGAGTCTATCATGTTAACCAGCTCAGTCCGTTTATTTAACAGGCTGCGGGCGTTTGTGTAGCAAACTGTTAATGCAGTTTGGTGCTTCCCCGGCCTACCCACAGAGGTTTCGGGATCATTAAACTGCGAACTTGAACAACCCGAAAACCCTTAATCTTAAGGTTCTTTTCGCCGTTTCGGCGTCGTTCGCTTAATTCTAGGGCCGCAGACTGTCTTTTGATACGGTCTGCCAGGCTTAAGTCGGCCCGGACATATATGCCTGATCCTTTAAGTATATGAGAGTTGCTTAGAATAGCATCCCTCTCTTCTTTAGAGTTTAGTACGACTTTGAGGAGACGTACAGGCTGACTTACTGTAGGGTCAGGCTTTTGGCCTATTCTATATACACTGTGTATAGTGACGCCTGATACTGTTTGTGGCAGTAGCTTGTCTAAAAGGGGCTTAACCAAGTTAAGGTCATGCTCAAATCTAGTCTTGGGTTCGGGGGCCAATGACTCTTCCACTTTGTGGAGAATGAGCGACCTGTCAGAGAGATCAGGTTTGCTTGCCGTGGTTTTCTTGCTCTGCGGCGTGAATGTCTTCCTGTCCTTCGTGGGCAGTGTGGCCAATGTATTGTCCTTATCTCGCTTTTTGCGAGAGACTACGTTACGCCATTCATTGGCGTTCTCTTCACTAGTCGTAGCAGGATTTATCTGCCTGCTACTCACCGGTGTGGACGAGGCTTGATCCACTAGTACCTGGGTGACTTGAGTTGCGGGTTTACGACCCCTGGTACGCCTCTTCTTTGTGGCAGTCTTTCTGTTACTGTCACTGGAGGGCTTATCCAGTATCGTGGGGGCAGCCTGGGTGACTGGAATGTGGTGAGTGCTCTTCTGTGCTGAAGGGCACTCAGTCATTGACAAAGACTCATTAGGAACATGTACTGTTCTGTCGATGACGCTAGTCACATCTTCGGTGTCTGAGAAGCAGTTAGTCTTCTCCTGTGATGGAAGACCCTTGCAGTCCATGAGCTTTAAAGCCCCGCTAAGAGTGGCAATGGCTTCTGTAATACGGAGTTTGGTAGTACTACAACAGTCATTGCACAACCAGTTTTCTAGAGGTTTACAGCAGCGTTTGTATGCTGCAGGAGTTAGGTTTGTGCACATACTGTGAAACCATCTCTTGCAGTTATCACACTGCATTCCCTCATCCACTGGGAATTGGCACATAACCCTTCCACAGCGGTTTTTTTTGATGGGCATACTGTCTAGAACAGACTGGCGAAGAAATTTAAATATAACTTAGATGTATATAGACCTTTATAAGTCAGCGATAAAAATCGATGAGTGCACAAAAATATATATATAACTATTATGTTATAAAAAAACAATTTCCTATAATTTAAATAGACTCAGATCTGAAAAGTAAACTAACTTTGATCAGAATAAACTGATTTAAAGTTAATCTGTAGACTTTTGGAGCGTATAACACAACAAAAGCCAAAACTAAACAAGAGCGTGTAAAATTCACTCCCTTTTCAAAGTTCGCGCGGTAGCGGATGGTTAGCGATTTTGTTAACTCTAAATTTCCTTGTTGGCTATTTATGATAGTGTGCTGATGGCGGAGTAGCTGAAGGCTTGATGAGACTGTCTGGAAAAGCTGTACTGCTTGTCTATTTATTCGTAACATTAACAGGGGTGTGCTTACATACATAGAAATATGTGGGGATACATAGAAGTAATGGTGAGCTCAAAGTAGAGCCATAATATCACTGGTCATTGGTCTGAACAACCTAGGCAGGTCGAGGTTTCTTAGTTGGATTCTCGAGATGCTACAAAGCAGTGTTCCTGAACTCAGAGACGACTGAAGATCTTTTGCAACAGCACATGTATGTCCACTATTTACCGTCGAATTGTCGCTGCTCTGTCATGACATTTTTGTCCGGTTTTGTGTACTTTTAGAAGTGTGCCAAATCGAATTGACGAGTGCCTGCTAGTTCCGTTTAAGTTCATCAATCAGTCAAGAACTTGTGAAACCGGCCCTCTGTTTCGTTTTAATCTAATTTTGTTTCCAATTTTTGCTGTTCTTGTTGATAGATGGTAATTTTGCGATACTTACATTTTCCGAATGCACTTTGCAAAACCGATTCGTGGATTATTGTCATTTACAGTTGTTGTGTCTTCTTGTGTAGTAGATAAAAAGTGCTTTTGTCCTACAAATCCCTTCGGCATGTGTGCATTTAATTTCTTGCGTACACTGATTTATTGCCATACTGAAGTCATTTACTCATTTAGTAAAAAAACAGCTAGTTATCACCACATCTCAAACAACGGTTTAGGAATGAATTTATGAAGCTGTGAAGCTTTTGGAAATATATCTTCCCGAAAGAATCTTCTTCGTTAAACTGCTTGTTTCATTATTTAGTGGATATTATTGTTGATTTCATCATTATTCATTTGGGTTCCGAGTGGAATATAGGGCTTCAAAAACACACCTCCACTTCGTTTTCTTTTCTAATTTCCTCTTCAGCTGCATCAACGATTGCCCATTATCTCTCACCTCCTCACCACACGATTTCCTCCGTGTTACCCTCGGACGACCCACTCGTCGCTTCCCATTGGGATTCCACTCGAGCAATGGCCTGGCGCGCTATGTCACTCGACGGTCTCCTCAACGTATGTCCAATCCATCTCCATTTTCTCCTACATATTTGTTGAGCAATAGGCGCTTGGTTGTTTCGTCGCCAAAGTTTCTTGTTGCTAATTCCGGCGGAGGTAGTTGTTGGCGAAAGTCTGTAACTTGTTGGAAATCCTTGTCAAGTTTCAGAGCCGTATAGAACTGATTTCACATTTGTGTTGGAAAGCCGAATCTTATTCTTAGTGCCCCGGAATGCAGAAGATTTCCAAATTGGTTTCAGTCTGATGAAGGCGTATCTTGCCTTTCCGATTCTGAATGGCTGGCTTTCACATCCTCATCCGTTCCGCCTGTAGTTGAAACCGTGCTTCCTAGATAAGCGAAGGAAGTAACCTTTGTCAAATCTCTCCTCTTGATGGTGATTGATTCTGATTTCGTTGCTGTTCGTTAGTTATCTTCATCACCTCCATCTTCTCTATGTTCACTTGTAGTCCTGTCATCTCTGCCAGTTTGTTGGTTTTCGCGTGCAAATCCTCGGGTTTGTGTGATACTAGACATATATCATCCACACACGAAATCCAGATCTTCTAGAGTCTTACCGGTCTAACGTGTTCCTGTCTGCTCACTCCTTGTGCACAGTCCGGCGCATAATCCAGTCCACCACAATTAGGAATATCACCGGTGATAATAGGCAGCCAGCTTGTCTTACTCTACATCTGCACTGGAGTAGGTGGTTTTGAGCACACCTCCAGGTGTGTACCCTCACTCACCCTCCCAGGTGAATCACTGGGAGTAGTTTAGACGTCAATACCTATGGGCTGGTGTTGGAGGGCTTGCGGAAATGTGGCGGATGGAAATTCCAACTTTGTAGTGAAAGTCAGATGTGAGGCGGCACTGCGGCACCAGTCTGGTCATAAAAGGTCGGGTTTACAGCGTTTCCATACGCCTATTCTTGAAGTCCATATTTTTTGCACCCATGCGCGTAAGTCACTCCTCCATGTTTGTGTAATAGGAGTCGTGTAAATCTTCCGTGAATATTTTCAATACTGACCCTATCATGCCCATACATGAAACCGAAGATGAATGTGAAGTATTCAAGCACTGGATGAACCATGACTTTGTTTAAAAGGACTTTGGCCTCAGTTGTGTAAATTCTTTCCTCGTAACAAGCGTGTGAGTCGTCGGCATTTAGAAAGAACTGATTTCGCGTACTGACTGAATGTTAAGTCTTGTGAGTAGGGAACTCCCGGGTCTTTTATGGGATTGAGGGCTTGGAGTAAAGAGTCACCTAGGTTTAACCTGGAATTTGGATGAGAACAATTGAAGTATTGGACACCAAATTTATCAGAATTGAATGGCAGTTGCCAGCCATTGCTCCGCTTACGTAACCTATCCAGATCGCCTTGACTATGTGTGAATCCTTTATTCAGAGTAGAATAAGGGAGGCCGTGTACAGTGTTTAGGTCTCCAGCAAAGAGGTTTGGGGTACCATGCTCGATTACACTGCAGATGCCGTTGATGTAAATTAGGATAATGCATCATTGGAAGTACATTTGCAAGACAAACACAAGAAGGAGCTGGAGACCCCTTGGAATAACAGTATACATTTGCAATGTTTAATGCTATTGGTCTAAACATGGAAACTATGACGTTTTTGATGCAAATATAACTTTGTTCAAATATTGGTGTTGTTATTGTTGTTGTGTTTTTTCCATCATAGCAACCAGACTTTAAGCAGGCAACGAATATAAACAAAGTAAGGTTAAGCTTCAGTAAGGACCTAGGTAGCTAAGATAAAATAGTTTAATAGTGCGTAGGTTAAAAAAGGTTATTTTGAGGTAGGTAATTGATGTTTCAGTGAAAAGTGAATTCAAAGATCTAGAAGATTAGAACCTGTAGGACAAGCTGACCCATTGTGCAGCATCTTGACAAGAAGCTGAGCAGGCTTGTAAATGGAAGGTGCAAAAGCAATTTTTTTTATAATTTAGATCTGTACAACCCTTTTTATTGTTAAGGACACATACTGATGTTTAATTCTCGATCTGTCAAAAAATGCATGTTGCTGTCCTACAGATCGGAGCGATTCACATTTGTGACCACTACCAAATCTGCATGCACTACCCTCCCCCCTTTTTGATATGAAGGTCTGAGAAATTTTGCAATGACTACAGTTGTAATATTGCATTGCTTTGACCAGTCCCAATCATACAGTATGCCGCACATTAACAGCTTTCATGACAAGTGCTTCCAATTAGGTCACAGGGCACAACAATAACTGAGGACATTCTAATCAGGATCGCATGCACCCACGTACATGTGTATTTGTTACAAATGCCTCGGAAATCGAGGTTACTTTAAGAAGTATAGAGAGTAAAAGTAGTAAGTATTACGGTAAATAAGTTATAATCTATTTAGCGGAATGAAATGTGTAGTGGAACAACTAATGGTAAACTTATGTAGAATGATCCTGAAGAAAACAGCTTGTTAACAGAACTAGTTATGCTAAATTTTCATGACTGCTTTTCATATGGTATGCGTCAGATATTGCACATTAACCCATCAACATGAATTACGCCAAAAATACTGCCAAATGTTAGAAAATTATAAATTTTAAAAAAAGTATATGAAAAAGGAAGTTATCGAATGAGTAAAGTCATTTCGACAGCGAAGGTATCAGTGTATTATTAATTATATAAAGTAAAATATTGAAAGGTATGGTAGATAATATAAGTGTTTCTGGAGTTACTTTTACTAACACAACTTATTGAACATTATCATAGAAATTCAGTATATTGGCTAAACGTTCGCAGAGTCACGGCTATGAAAGGATTATTATTAATAATAGGAGATTTTAAAGGGTTTGTGATATTTTTGCCATCACTGTCTGTGACACAGTCCCTATGGTATCAGTTATGAGGTGAACTATAGGAACAACTGCGTTAGTGGTAGTGTAGAATTCCATAGTCTGGTCAACTGAGAATCTTTTGAGATGTCTTCTCAGTAGTCACTTTAAGATAGTATCAATTCATGAGGTTACCGACTATTGGTCTGAACTTTGGCGTGTCAAAACTGTTGAATATAATTGTATATATTCATCTAGTTAGTAGCGATCTATCTAATTTTTCTGAAGAGTGCGGGATTCAGTGTTGACTTAAAAGCAAGCATTATGTCTTTATAAAGTGTGCACACTGCAACTGATTTACAACAACCTCATGCATATTGACATAAACTGTGGTCAGAGAATAGTTCTAAAATAATTGGGCCCCGAGTGAGAAGTAGACATTTTTAAAAATCTCAGCGAAATTGAAATAAGTAATTCGAATGTTGTCAATAAAATTCTGATGAAAAGTGCACGGTGTTTGAAGTGGTTAACAAAAGTAGACCAATATTTGTACGTCTGAGGTCAAGTTTTGATCACAGGTCAAACAATGTTTTTGATTATATTTTGATGACTGTTTCATGACTCATGTGATTGCACAAAGTTTTTAAAAACAAGAGATGTTTGTTTTACATATAAACCTCTAGTATGTTAATTTTGATTAATTTACCTGAAGAAGTTCGGACCAGTTTGCGTAACGAAACGCTGAAATTACGCATTTCAATTTCGCTGAGATTTTACAAATGTCCACTTCATGTGTAGCCTGGAAAAGTTGATGATTAGTTTTTCCCTTATATGATCAAACCAATCATCAAAGGCTTCATGGAAAGTAGTTCTGTCTGCTTGACTCTTCGCTACCTGCCTGTCCTGTGGCAAGGATAACTAGCATCCTTTTCCAAGGATGACACTGGTTCTGTATATGCAAAACTAGTCTCAGTTTAAAATGTTACTCAGTCTACATCCCTGTCGTTTCTAGTTTTCATTATTGTTGTATGTTATAGAAATAAAAAGGCTGAATTAGGTTGAGGAACGACAAATTATGTCAGAACATGACAACAGTAAGGAAGTTTACAGTATTATTTTCTTTCAAAACATCTCTTACTGCAAATTGTAACTGGGGCCAGTGCTGACAGCTATACGGATCTCAGTATTCATGGATTATAGTATAAACACGAGTCTCATGTACTATTTGAGTAATGCAAGGTGTCAATAATGGTTTCTAAGAGCTCAGTTGCTTATGGTGCATCATCCTCTTATGTTTATTTGCAGGACCTCGCGGAAATAGAAGTCGTAGTCGGTCTGGCACTCTTCCCATCGACCGTAACCTGCTGATGACTTGGGTTAGTTATCGAAATGTGGTACTTATAACCTGACTTTATTTACAGGATTACGATGACTATGTTCAACAAGTTAGCCGTGGTATGCGACCGAACATACTCAATCCACAAGTGAGTTTCAATTTCCGATGTTTAATGTTGTTTAAGACTACGGGGATTTCTAGTAAACTCCTGTTCGTTCGATCATTGGATTTTTCATGTGTTAACAGTAAAACTCCACCAAAGGACAGCTATATTTGATGAGTCACAGTAATACAGTTATAGAGTACTAATGACTTTTCGAACGCAATGCATTTGCTGTAATCGCTTCAAAGTGTCCCATCAGAAATAGTTCAAGTTTCAGACTATCCAATTGATATGAATTGAAAGAAGGTTAGATGGCATTCAGACAAATAATGTTGAAAAAAAATTGGTTGGTTTTGGTATAACTAGTCTTTATGCTAGTATATGAATCAGTGTGACACTGGAATTGGTTAGGAAACAACTAACGGCTGAGCACAAACTCACTCATAGGAATCCATTGATGACAAGCCTACTGTTTAAATGACAGTGCGAAATATATAGATAAGGTGAATAGTGTGAGTTTGTTGATAAGCTTCCTAATGAGAAAAACATAAGTTCCATTGATATACGAATAGAACTGTGACATTACGGTGGTCCATAATCCCATGATAATTTTACATAACTTTATTAGGAGATGAAGTTTAGCTGGAAAATGTGATGTACTTTTCTTTCAGTCTGATCACACATTTCTCAAATAAAAGGGTGTATAATAATAATAATAGAACTGTGTTAACACAATATGGAAGTGGTTATATGAGGAGCTTGATATGATAACGAGCAGTGGAATGTTCTGGAAATGTCATGATCCAATAATACTATGTCGCCTTGAGTTCTGTCAAATAAAATTATTTTATTATGGAATCATGCTTAGAAACAGTGCCCAATTTCCATTCTTACATTAGTAAAGCATAAGAGTTTGGTGGACTGAGTTACCGTCTTGAAGATCTATTTTTCATGACTTATCTTGAGTTCCTTGGTTCTTGATGGGAAAAATGCAATAGTCCTTGGTTTTTATTTTAACTCGTGTATGCTTCATGGTTTTGTATGTTTTTACTACCGTCTGTAAATATATCGTAGAAGAAATTGTTTTTTGTTCATTGTTTTCATCCGATTAAGTTGAATGTAACCAGTTTTTGTCAAAATTGTTCTTTTCTCATATTGAAGACCAGAGATTTGGTGAAGGAGTGTTTGTTTTGAATTTGGTACAGCTACATAGCGAAGTTGTGTACACCTTATCTTCAAACCACCACTTGCACAGATCTTCCGTGTTGTGCTGCTTCTGTCCTTCATATTGTGTGTATCTGTGCTCCTTTCACGTCTCCGATGTTTTCCCGCAACACTGAATCATTTGCTTTCACTGACGTCACATCCATCTCCCTGCTATTTGGTGTTTTTATGTCGAATAACGTCTGTTACTACTGATAAATCTTATCAATAGCAAACACTACAATGTTTCAGTAGGGATGATATTAAGAGTAGTAAGAGTAAAACCGACGCGTGCGGCGTTAAGATCTATAGAGAAGCGATCTACGACGCAAACATAATTATCAAACTATGTCAAGATCGTATGAAACAGGTGGTTACGTAATACGAGAGATAGCGGCGATGGAATACTGTCCACATTGTTTTCATCTTTCTATTTTAACGTTAGTAATCTTCAGTTTTTTAAATTTGCTTAGGCGGAAATTACTATGCTTGGAATTAATTATGTTTCAGGTTGCACGTGCAGGAGGTTCAAGTGCTTATCCTCAAGATGTGCAAAGTCATGAAAACGACCTCAGAGTGAGTTTTTATAGTTACAATTATCGTGCTTTATTTGATTTGACGGTACATTTTATCTATATAACTTCGGTTAATTTCTTGCAGACCTAATCAAGACTAAGCATGTGGAAAACATACCGTGGACTCAGTATAGAAAACTGATCTGACAGTTGAAATTTAATATTTAGATAATTATCGAACCAACCTATTAATTCGTGAATAAAAAGAAAAAAAGAATTTATTTTTTGAATGAATTCATTCCCTATCCCTACTCGCTTAAATGAGCAGTTACTGGCAGTAAAAATTGATCAATCAGCATACATATAATAAAAATAATTGACATGCTTTTAACAAGATCAAAGTTAGATTAAATGCTTTCAAACATTTGGAATTGTGATTCTGATGATGATGATAACAATAATCAAGGAGAAAACAGATTGATGAAGGAGAATAGAGAAAGTAAACAATGTAAACAAAGTAAACGATGAAATTTAACAAAAGTTATGTTTATGGCTAGTGCTTGAACTACACGTACATAAAAGGTAAACTTGTAGAATGGTTGAATTTAACCGTCTAGATAAATTTAAAGGATAGACTATGTGAATCTAAATGACCATACTCAGGATGTTCACATGTAGGAGACTTCGTTACTGTGTGTAAGCCTTTCATTAAATAAACTAAACAATGCTCAGTTACGCATTTCCAGATACTGTTGACAAAGAATTCCGTAAAACTCGCATAACATCGAAAAGATACATTATGAATTTAGTATTCAGAAGGATTTCACTGCTGAGACGCTTAGAAGTCGTCTGTCCAAGTATGTTAAACGCGCCTTCTATGTTATGGATTGGTGCCTTGTACGCTAGAGTCGATGGCACAGCGGTAGAATGCTCGCCAAGCATGCATGTGGTTTGGGGTTCAACCCCCGGCCGACGCACTCGTTAACCTTGCCAAGCCCGTAATGAGACTGGTAAATAGGGAAGGTTGAGTATGTGTCTAGCAAACCCATCCCGTGAAAATAAACACCACTGCTACCGAAACTTCAGGCTTGTGGCTCGAAACCCTATGCCCCACTGAGAAGGTAAAGGAATTTTGAAAAAACTCTAGAGTCGAGATGGACTACCACCTATGCCCACCCATTTATGTATTTTAATTATTTATTTTATTCCTTTGCGTTCTGATTGGAACTTAGATCTTCAAGCTTAAACTATGCGTATATACTACTATTCCAGATATTCCTTTGTAGATAACTGCATTAGATATCGTGACGGAGTTCTCCGGAAATGTGTTGCTGAACCTTATTTTCTTGATGACAATTCACTTTCTTAAGCTTCCGTGAATTTGTCTTCTTCAACTGAGCAATTTTCTACGTAATCTTTTCGAATTTTTTGGTGATTGACTCCCAGTATTTAACATCATATTACATTTTTCCCACGGTTGAGTAAATCTTGTGAGGTTAAATGTTGTTATTCTGTGGTCTGGTTATACACATGACCACATATCATTTGCACATTTTGACACCGTAATGCTATTTCTGATTATTGTATCGTTATAACGTAGTTGGCCAACATAGCAGAAATATTTTTACATAGGTGCACTCCAAAACATGTTGAAAGTAGATGTATCTTACCTTCTATTGCTCTCTATCTCTACCACTGTGATCTTAAGGAATTTGCAAAACAGTGATAACACGATCTTTTACACTAAGTATGTATTGATGAAATTATTTTCAGAAACCACCGAAATAGTGTTTACTTTTCATAGAAATGAATGAAAGTTATTCTACTGATTGAAATCCCCCCTATGTCGTTCAAACGTTTACGATAGCTTTTATTGTCTTTTGGTATACTATTGTGAACGAGTCTGTCTAAAATTCGTAAAAATCAACTTGACATGTTTTTCATATAGTATGAAGAAAAGGTGGATGCCTTTCTGCGAGGAATTGGATCACGGACGAGAGCTGAAGTGTATGATCATCATCATCATTCTCGCAGTCCTAGCCGTAGCTGTTCATATAGTCCACCTCCACCGCCAACCCGTCGACGTGAATATTATCGGGGCTCGTCCTCCTTCTCCAGATCTAGATCCCCATCGGTACCCAATATTCCTGTATCGAAAGTTAGACGCGTAGATCCAGACTCGGAGGCCTATCGACGTCGCCTTCCACCACAATACGTGTCTCCTCGTGCAAGAAAACGTACGGACTCCCGTAGCCGTTCTCCTAGGAGTTGTGGTCGAGAGGCTCCTACGCAATGGAGAAGACCTCCTCAAGCTTCTGTAGCTCATTCAAGTGTCAGTAGACGCCACGATCCGGTGGATAGCCGAATCTCTTCACATCTAGGACGATCTCCTCGGGGAGGTTCAAGAACGCACACTGCAAGCAGTCGTCATTACAAATGATTTGTTAATGTGAGTTTTTCTGCAGTTATCACCTCACTCAGGTTTGTTCTAATTTACTTGTAATTTTAAATTTCATGTGACATCGTCAGTTCTCGATTTTTTTTGTTATATACCGATGAGTAATCGCTTTGTCATAGATTTCCGTAAACCATACGATGCTCACTGTTTCAGTTTTTCTGGGAGTTTTAGGCCCCTTCATTCACTCACCATGGTGAATATTCAAAATTATTTTCAAAAATAATACAAGCAGTTGAAATTGTTGGTGCAGCTATGGTCTGTTAGCTTTTTTACCTTATGGTACAAACCGCAGCGGCATGCACCACTTCACACTGAGTCATGTTACTCTACGAAATTATTCCTTCTCCTGTGTATTATTTCACTGTAGTTGCTTGCATTATTTCTTTTCTGTGATATATTCAGCATGGCAACTGAAACTACTGCACTTCTGTGGAAAGTTCTACTTTGGGACAGTAGGTTAAGTCCTACTGAAGCATCTCACTGCTCCTAAATGCGTGACTGCCAGCAGCGCATCTTCGTCGCTAGGCCCTGCTCATAAGAACTTTTCTGGAATCAAAGCCACAAGCATTAGGCGGTAATTTTAAGGGTTAATGACTGAATGTTAATCAGGATTATAGAATTGTGGTATTTATCCTGCTTTTCAATTTCTTCGACGGGTGTTAGGCAGGTACCTGCAGATATCTGCTTGGCGTGCTACCTGACTTTTGAGGAAGAGCTTCACAACTGTAGGCACCAGCCATTTGCCACTAACAACTTATCTTGGTCTCTCGTAGCTGAAAAGCCGTGCAGTTCTGGTAGTCTATTCCAGTCTACGGTGATATGTTGATTATGTAGCTTTCTGTCATCCAGTGAACACACAATTAGTCATAACTTCACATCAGTCTGGATTGATTCAGCGATTAAAATCGTTTGTAACTGTTGATTTGATGCCCGTCTATCCAATATTTACGACATAATTTTTAATTTTACTTAATTTTTTTCAGGTGCACTCAGTCAACAATAACTTCAATATTTTCATTTCCTTTTATTTATGTACAGATAGTGCAATTAAATAAAGTGATATGCACAAATAATTTCAAATATTTTGTTTTTAATATATTCCACACTCGACTGTAACCATTCAAACTGGCAGGCTGTTAGCATCTGTTTGCAGCCGTTGGATCTCTCCAAAGTTTTAGGTCATTTGCGTACAGAACTACGCGAGATCTGATGAATCTAGACGTTCAGGACAAATAAGAAGGCACCAGGTACAACACTATGTTACACGCCGCTAAATGTCGTTGTCTAGGAAGGGGGTTTCGCATTGATACAGAATCTCTGTCTCCTATCTACAAGTAATTCGTCGATACAACCCAGCAGGCTTCCCTTGATTCCAAAACTTTCCAGTTTCATAGTAAATCTTGTGTGGAACACTTTTGTAGTTAGTTTCGCTGACATCTCTGAAGACATTTCTGACGAGTTTCTTGTTATCCCCAGACTTGACTCAGATTTTCCTAGCTGTGAGGAATATGTCACACATGAGAGGTTTCCCTGAAAATCGTGTGGTGCGTTGGATGGGTTGTTTTTCAAATATGCCATGATAACTTTTTGACTAGTATCTTCGGTACTTTGACTAAGTTACCGGTAGGTCTAACAGACCCGTAGCTTAAAGGGAAAAATCTAGATCGTCTCTCATGGACATGAATTACCGTTGTATCCTTCGTGTTGGTCGATAGCTCTCCATGTGAGAGTGAGAGCCTGAGGAGAGTAGTCAATGAGCTCTTCATGTAAGCTTTCATTCTTTTGGGAAACCCTGTGTGAAGACCAGCCAGACCTACCGGTTTCCGTGGTTGATCGTTATCGAGCCTATTGGCAGTGTCAGATTTGATCCACTCTCGGGATAACTGTTATATACCCCCTAGATTTGTTGTTATCCTCTCTTAATTCTATGTTGATGTGAAGGCCCATAATTGGGATATCAATTTATCTGTTTCAAGTACTGCCTCCTAAGTGATGTTTGAGTGATATTTAGTCTGATGGTTTATTTCCATCTTTTTGAACCCCTCTCTATACATTTTATGTGATATTACTATGATTGCCAGTGTGAACTGTTGATCTGAGATAGTAAACTGCTCTCTACTCAACAGTCCATCTTCCTCATTTCTTGTGTTGCGTTTGAGTGGTATCCTGTAGACTGGGAAATCCACTAGTTTCATTGGCGGTCAAAAGAAACGTCTGGGCTATTCGAGTGAACAGATTTGAAACAATTGGCTTTCTTGCACGAAAAGACCAGCTTTTTTCTCTCCCACATTGCCCTGTTTAACCTTTTGAAGGAAACGATATCTCTCCACTCAGGGGCGTTCTCTTCCGCACCTGATATTGGTGGTCACTGATCGTAGCTAGGTTTATAGTAAAGACGGTCTGTCCAGACTGTAAGCCGATGGTTATTCCCACACTCTAATCTAATCTGCGGATCAAGCCGCAGTTTGCTAATAGGGTCTCGTCAACACAAATTTACGACCTTGTACTTACGCTAACAGGATACCTAGTGTCCCGGTACTACATACTTCTATCCTGAGATGACAGGCCTTCGTTATCAGGAAGCTTCTCTTTTGCATTACACACCACGATAGCTACCCTGACGAGTAATTCCTTAAAGTTGCGGCACCCGTCGCTAAGTCTGTGAGAGCTATGCAATGAACATCGTGTACTGCCGGAACCCCGATGTGGAAATTTTACTTCAACTACACTGCACTTAACATGATGCATTTCATCGTCCACTGGAAAACAGCCCAATTAGGCTTCACAACAGAGATCCTCACTGGGTCTTTTTCGTAAAATGTGAGGTATTATGTAAGAAGAAAGAGACAGAGTGAGCGTAAGAAAAAGGGTTCTCATAATCCAGAATCAAAGTCGCACCAAGAACCAAAACGTTGAGGAAAACCGCATGCCATTTCAAGGTTTTAAACAAAGCTTAGCATTCTAAATTTACAAATAGCTGGCAATAATATCTCAAGCAAAATCATGAATATGGAGTTAGTGGAGAATAACATACAGATGCCTAAATGAAACAAGAGTATCTGCGACATTAACTACCGTTTGTGGAAGTCTCTCTATCACTGCATACGGAGGACCGTTGTATGGATAGGCCCGTTTTAGTCTGTCAATGCTAACACAGTCCATGATACTACCCGTTGAAAAACAAAGTGTTTGTAGTGCCCCGCAGTCTTTTTAAAACGTTCTTCGTATGGCACACCCATGGGTGGTTGTGTTTTATCACATATCATCGATACGTGGGAGCACGAACTAAGTCCTGGTTCAATCACCCCAACTAGCTTGAGGGTGAGATCTGCGCTGCGAATTCCGTGTCATTCTAGGAACTTCGACAAGTTTCTGAAAAGCACTGACTCTAATTGAGGTCCTCTTTCAACTTTTATTATTATATGCACCCCTAATATGACTACCTAATGGTGAGTTAATGCGTTTGCCACCGGTTCTGCCGTAATATCAGTAAGTGGTCAGTTAAAGGGAACCTGGTGAACTTATCGATGCATGTGAATAAGTAGGTGGGCCTTTTGACTTATGGAAAGGGAACCATCAAGTTCACATGAACACGGGCGAAAAGGGTACCCAGCCTCAAGAATGTTCCTAAGGGTGACACTGTGTGTCTGCCTATTTCCACTATCAGGCATGAAATGCACTCTCTTGTCCACTTTCACACGTCACGCTGTAGGTTGGATCGCAGGTATGTTGTGGAGATTATTTTAGCTGAAGATTTAGCACTAGGACGAGATAACCAGTGAGAATTATTAAACATGGCTGCCTTCGTAATTTTAGGAAGGGAGGGCCTGATTGAATCTTCACTTGTATCACAGTGTGTAAAGTTGCCGTCTACAAGAGGTGTTGGTTTTCCGGGTTTGAGGTCAGGGTTATTTGTGGTTCTTTTTTATTCTCGTCCATTGCTTTGAAGCTTACAATGGTCCATTACACCGTAACCACGTGTATTATGGACGGTGAATCAGCCACACAGTTCTCCGCCCACTTGACATGTTTTATATGACTGGTGAGCTGTGAGGTAAAATCGAGGTGACGAATTTCACGTGGCGAGTGTTTGTCCGTTTTCGCGTTGAGCGCGTAGGTGGGAGGCCTACGGCGAGTATAGATAGTGAATAGCCTGCTTTCGGCCATGTGGCGAAGGCGTTTAACCGTCAAGCAGATTGCTGGCAACTCTCTGCCAAAGATAGAATATTTCATCGTTCTGGGACTAAGTTATTTGGAAGATATTCTATCGGCTCCCAGCTATTTTCGACTAGCCGATCTACAGCTGCTCCCTCAGCCTCATCGGGAGCATCTGCCATTAAAATAAGAGCAGCATTTGGATCAGGGTTGTGGCTTTTGCCAACGCTTCTTTCAGCCGTTCAGTTGCGTTGGATGTCTATTTTGACGGCTGAGAGTCTTTCGGTCATCCCCTTAATGCATCAGTCAGAGGCCGCGTGTACTCTCCGCAATAAATTTACTATGGAATATCATATTTCTTTGACTCTCGGTTTTGTATTTCGTTTCTTTTCTTACCCACACCTTTATGCATTGGTGCGGTGCCGATGCTGGTAATTACATATCACAGTCAATTTCACCTTTAGGCATAAATCCAGCCTAAACAAACTGGTTGGCTCTCACGAGGTGTGCAACATAGATGGCACTGAAACAGAAACCAAGTCGGAAATTAAATACCTAGGCGTCGTTCTATCTGCTGATCTCTCCTGGTCGTCTCATATCTTGGCGATTTCTAAGAAAATATTCCGTCTTACCTTCTACATCAAGAAGTTAAAACATTCTGGTATAACCCAACCCTTAATCCTGCAATTCGTTAACTCTCGCATTCTGCCTATTATTCTCTATTGTTCCCCCTTAGTTTTTCCCGGGCTACTGAAGAAAGACTTTAACATATTACGCAGGATGTTAAAGGTTGTCAGCAGGGTAAGCAACGTGCCACTTAACCAGCTTGTTAATATTCTGGTTGATAGGCACATGGACTCATGTGAAAAATGGGCCGAATCCATTTTATCTAACTCACACCACCCTCTTCACTCACAACTCTCCCCTTGCATCTCATCAGGTAAAACCAGAAGCCTATATAGAAAACTGTATGCTCGCACCAGCAAGTACAAAAACTCAACCATACCCTACTTAGCTCGTGTTATGTGCGATAAAGAAAGCATTAGGCATGACACCTATAATTCATTAAATAGTCAGTAGAACAACTGGACCTCGTCTCTCCAACTCATATCATTTATAGGTACAACATTTTCTTTCTTTCTTCTCATTTTCTGTCTCTCTCTTTTTTTTCCGTTATGTGCTGCTTTGTTTCTTTCTTCCGCTTACGCCAGTAAATATGACAGCACCTACTTTCCTAACACCTTCAAACACTGTTCAACTTTGGCTTTGCTACCGACATGCCAATATGTTGTTGTCATAATGAACTGAGATTTCTTTAATCTATGTAGAATTCTATTTATTGATGATGTACTAACTGGATGCAATACTGTAGTGAAAATGCTGAGAAATCCATTCTGTATCACAAGTACTATTTTGGAATAAAGCAAATTATTATTATTCAGTCCTGGGACGAAGAGTGATTCAATACGTGGCTCAGAGGACTCTTGACGCGATAACATGAATGACTCCAAAGTTTTGAGGCGTGAAAGAATAGCCTAGGGATGTGCTGATTAACCACATCTGCAGTCATCTACGTACTGATTACTTGCTAACTACAAGTAACAGTTGCAATAAAATGTAACTTATATGTTAACTGGAGGTCATCGAAGGGGGAGTAATGTGGTGTTGTTATTGGACTTTGGTATACCTTTCATTTGTCTTAACCTTTTGTGGCTGTTGAGGGTCAGGTGTATCTAACCGAAAGATCCTATCAGCTAACAACTGAGATGGGTAAATCAATGGTGCTACGTCAGTGGAAACTTTCCATGTCGGCTTCTTAACTCTGTGAATATTAGCTAAAAGTTACATCTTACCGGTTCACCCTGTATTGACTCGCAGGCTCAGTCTCATATGACGACTGTGCGAGATCTGAGTGCAGTCGTTCGGCTGCTACTTAAGCTCTTATGATTTCGTCAAAGTTA